GGCCATACTGTGACATTATGGGCCATATCAGGCCATACTGTGTTGTGTAGGGCCATATTGTGACATTATGAGCCATATCAGGCCATACTGTGTTGTGTAGGGCCATATTGTGACATTATGGGCCGTATTGGGCCATATTGTGACATTATGGGCCGTATTGGGTTATATCGTGTTGTGTAGGGCCATATTGTGACATTATGTGCTATACTGGGCCATATTGTGGCATTATGTGCTGTATTGGGTCATATTGTGTTGTGTAGGGCCATATTGTGACATTATGTGCTATACTGGGCCGTATTGTGACATTATGTGCTGTATTGGGTCATATTGTGTTGTGTAGGGCCATGTTGTGACATTATGTGCTATACTGGGCCGTATTGTGACATTATGTGTTATATTGGGTCATATCGTGTTATGTAGGGCCATATTGTGCTCTGAGACCTCCCCTCTCTCCTCAGATCAAGGTGAACGTGTTGGGGGATGTCGTGGAGCAGGGCAGCACCGACTTTGCCCCCGACGCTCGTGCCTTCAGCCTCCATGCTGCCATCTACGCCGCCCGCCCCGACGCGCGCTGCATCGTGCGCCTGCACACCCCAGCGACAGCAGCGGTGAGAGGGAGGGAGGGGTGTGGTGTAGGGCCATATTGTACCCTATTGGGCCCTACTGGTCCTTATTATGCACTATTGTGCCCTGTTGTGTTGTGTTGGGCCCTGTTGGGCCATATTGTGTTGTATTGGGCCATATTGTACCCTATTGGGCCCTCCTGGTCCTTATTATGCACTATTGGGCCCTATTGTGTTGTGTTGGGCCCTATTGTGCCATATTGTGTTGTGTTGGGCCATATTGTAACCCTATTGGGCCCTCCTGGTCCTTATTATGCCCTATTGTGCCATATTGTGTTATGTTGGGCCCTATTGGTCCCTATTGTGTTGTGTAGGGCCATATTGTACCCTATTGGGCCCTACTGGTCCTTATTATGCACTATTGTGCCCTATTGTGTTATACTGGGCCCTGTTGGGCCCTGTTGTGTTGTGTTGGGCCATATTGTACCCTATTGGGCCCTACTGGTCCTTATTATGCACTATTGTGCCCTATTGTGTTGTGTTGGGCCATATTGTGATATAATATGTTATACTGTGCAGTGTTGGGCTCTACTGGGCCATATTGTGTTGTGTTGGGCCATGTTGTATCCTATTGAGCCCTATTGGTCCTTATTATGTACTATTGTGCCATATTGTGTTGTGTTGGGCCTTATTATGCCCTATTATGCCCTACTGGGCCATATTGTGTTGTGTTGGGCCCTATTGGGTCCTATTGGGCCATATTGTATTGTGTTGGGCCATATTGTACCCTATTGGGTCCTCCTGGTCCTTATTGTCCGCTATTGTGATATATTGTGTTGTGTTGGGCCATATTGTACCCTACTGGGCCCTCCTGGTCCTTATTGTGCACTATTGTGCCATATTGTGTTGTGTAAGGCCATATTGTGATATATTGTGTTGTGTTGGGCCATATTGTGATACAGTGTGTTATATTGGGCCTTATTGTGCACTATTGTGCCATATTGTGTTGCGTTGGGCAATACTGTGATATAATGTGTTATATGATGTTATATTGTGCCCTATTGTGCCATATTGTGATATTATGTGTTATATTGGGCTATATTGTGTTGTGTTGGGCCATATTGTGCCCTATTGTGCCATATTGTGTTGTGATGGGCCATATTGGGCCATATTGTGTTACATTGTGCCATATTGTGCCATATTGCTCTGTGCCACCGTGTGCCAAATTCTGCCATATTGCTCCGTTGTGTTGTTCTATGCCACATCATGCTGTGTTGTGCTGTGCCATGTTGTGTTGTATTGTGCCATATTGTATTGTGCATCACTGTGCAACTTCATGCCACGTTGTTCTATGCCATACTGTGCCATATTACTTCGTGCAGTGTTGTGTTGTGCCAAGTTGTGCCATGCCACACCGTGCCACGTTGTGGTGTTGTGCCACGTTGCCCCATCCCGTGCCATGCTGTGCCACGTTGTGCCACGTTGTGTTGTTCCACGCTGTACCGTCTTGTGTCAAGTTGTGCCACACTGTTTTGTGCAACACTGCACCATTCCACGCTGTGCCATATTGTGCCAAGCTGTGCCGTGTCCTGCTGTGCCACTCTGTCTTGTTCTATGCCACGTTCTGCCTTGCTGTGTTGCATTGTGCCACTCTGCTCCGTGCTGCGCCAAGTCGTGCCGTGCCATGCTGTGCCATGCCACGTGGTGCCATACCATGCCATGCTGTGCCACAGGTGTCAGCCATGCGCTGCGGTGTGCTGCCCATCTCCCGTGCTGCGCTGCTGCTGGGGGACATCGCCTACTTCGACTTCCGTGGTGAGGTGGAGGACGAAGCCGACCGGGTTGAGCTGCAGAAGTGCCTCGGCCCCACCTGCAAGGTGGGTCTGGGGGGGTCACGGTGCTGCTGACGGTCCCCCCCCCCAGCCCCACACATTGTGCTAATGTTCCTTTGCCACTGCAGATCCTGGTGCTGCGCAACCACGGGGTGCTGGCGCTGGGCGACACGGCCGAGGAGGCTTTCTACAGCATCTTCCACCTGCAGGCAGCCTGCGAGGTGCAGGTGAGAGCTGCCCCCAGCATGGGGGCCCACGGTGCCCTGGGATGGTGCACTGAGTTGTGCACGGTCTCAGCCATCAGTGCAATGCTCCCAGCACCATGCATTGAGTTGTGCATGGTCTCAGCCAGCAGTGCAATGCTCCTGCACCATGCACTGAGTTGTGCATGGTCTCAGCCAGCAGTGCAATGCTCCTGCACCGTGCACTGAGCTGTGCACGGTTTCAGCCATCAGTGCAATGCTCCCAGCATCATGCACTGAGCTGTGCACGGTCTCAGCCATCAATGCAATGCTCCCGTACCATGCACTGAGCTGTGCACGGTCTCAGCCATCAGTGCAATGCTTCCAGCATCATGCACTGAGCTGTGCATGGTCTCAGCCAGCAGTGCAATGCTCCTGCACCGTGCACTGAGCTGTGCACGGTCTCAGCCAGCAGTGCAATGCTCCTGCACCATGCACTGAACTGTGCATGGTCTCAGCCATTGGTGCAATGCTCCCAGCACCACACATGCTCTCATTTATCAATGCAATACTCCCTGCACCATACACAGCTCTGTGCATGTTCTTAGCCACTGGTACAATGCCCTCAGCACCATGCATGGTCTCAGCCATCAATGAAATACCCCCTCCACCATACATACACAAGGCTGTGCATGCTCTCACCACCAGAGCAATGCTTCCAGCACCACGCACTGAGCTCTGCATGCTCTCAGCCATCAATGCAATACCCCCTGCACCGTGCACAGCTCTGTGCAAAGTCTCAGCCACTGATGCAATGCTGCAGGTGTCGGCACTGGCGAGTGCAGGTGGTGCAGAGAACCTCATCGTGCTGGAGCGTGCCAAGCACCGTCCCCACGAGGTCGGCTCCGTGCGCTGGGCTGGCAGCACCTTCGGCCCCATGCAGAAGAGCCGGTTGGGCGAGCACGAATTTGAAGCCCTGATGAGGATGCTGGACAACCTGGTGAGCACCTGCGAGCGAGCGCACGGCGTCCCTCCATCCCTTCAAACCACTTTGAGAAAATAACTCACAGGACTCGATAACGCTTTGCTCTGCAGGGCTACCGCACCGGCTACACCTATCGCTACCCCTTCGTGCAAGAGAAAAGCAAACCCAAAAGCGATGTGCTCATCCCTGCCACGGTGACAGCCTTCGTCTTCGAGGAGGAGGCGATGCCCACGCCTGCGCTGCGGCAGCACGCACAGAAGCAGCAGAAGGAGAAGACGCGGTGGCTCAACACACCCAACACGTACCTGCGGGTCAGCGTGGCTGAGGAGCAGCAGGGAGGCCAGAAGACCAAGACGACCGTATGGAGCTGTTGGGTTCTTTGGGGTTTTGGCTCCAGCTGATCACTCCTGGGGGGGTTGTTGATAGAAAGGAGGTAGGGGATGCTTGGAGCGCTGGTTCCACCAAAAATGGGTGTGCAGAGAGAGCCCACAGGGGTTCTCCAGCAGTGAGAAATGCCTGGTGTGCCCACTTCAGTTGCATTTATTTGCCCCTTTATTTGCCCAGACCGCCTTTTCTTCTAAAAGCCCACTGCCAGCACTCGGTGCTCTGTTGGGGTTTCCTTTCTCTGCAGCACATAATTTGGCACAGTCTCTTCTCTCTGCAAGATGCATTTATTCATCAGCTTTAATCTCCTGGTGCCATGCATTTCTTGGGCTTTCCTCTTGCCACGCCATGCATTTGTCAGGGTTTGCCCTCCCCGTGCCATATATTTATTGGGGTTTGCTTTCATCTATCAAGTTCTCCTCTCTCTCCATGCCATGCATTAATAGGGGTTTCCTCCCAGTGCCTTGCAAGTGGGGTTTGCTCCCAATGATGTGAGTCAGGGTTTGCTCTCCATGCCACACAGCCATCGAGGTTCCCTCTCTTAATGCCATGTATTTACTGGAGTTACTGCTCAAAACCATTCTTTTATCAGGGTTTGCTCTCAATGCCATGCATTTATTAGGCTTTCCTCTCTCGATGCTGTGTGTTTATTGGGGTTGCCACTCAAAGCCATGCATTTACTAAGGTTTCCTCTTGACGACATGTATTTATTGGGGCTTGCTGCCTCCATGCCATGCATGTATTGTGTTTTCCTCTTTCCATGCCGTGTATTTATCCGGGTTTCCTCTCTCAGTACCATGCATTTGTTGGGGCAGTTATTGGGGTTTCCTCTCTCCATGCCATACATTCATTTGGGTTTGCTCTCCATGCCATGCATTTATGGGGGTTTCCTCTCCCCATGCCATGAATTCCCTTGGGTTTGCTCTCCATGCCATGCATCTCTGGGTGTTCCCCTTCCTCTCCGCGCAGTGGCTGAAGGCTGACGAGGTGGAGAAGGGCAGCAGTGGCACCGCCATCCGCATCGAGAACCCAAACCAGTTTGTGCCCCTCTACACTGACCCTCAGGAGGTGCTGGAGATGAGGAACAAGGTGCATTGCCATCCGGGTGACCCTGGATGTGGGGTCCCAAGGGTCCCAAGGATGACATGTCCATGTTTTCCCATCCTCTCTCTGCATCTCTCTTGTAGATCCGTGAGCAGAACCGCCAGGACGTGAAATCTGCAGGGCCACAGTCCCAGCTGCTGGCCAGTGTGATCGCTGAGACGAGCCGCAGCCCCGTACGTCCTCCATGTCCCCATGTCCCCATTCCTCCTCGTGCCAGGGGGTGACGCTGCTATTCGGGGGGGGTTCAGTCCACAGAAAGCCATCTGGGGGATGCTGAGACCAAAAACCCATCCCAAGAGGAGGCCCCCGCTGAGCCGGAGCCCCCGAACCCCTTCAGCCAGCTCACGGACCAGGAGCTGGAGGAGTACAAGCGGGAGGTGGAGAGGAAGAAGCTGGGGCTGCACGGTACGAGCGGGGGGGACCGTGTGCATCCCAGAGCCCCATTATGGGGTCTGTAGCCATCTGTCTGTCTGCAGGAGACAAGGAGGAAGAGGAGACCCAGGCATCCCCCCCAAAATCACCACCGGGGTCCCCAAAATCCCCCAACAAAAGTGCAGCCCCGGAGGGTCAGGAGGGTGAGTGGGGTGTGGGCGGAGAGGGCTGAAGAGCAAAACCCCTGTGGAAAACGTGGGTAAAAATCAGCAGTGCCTTCGTGCTGCCCCACAGCAGTGGGGATGCACAATGGCCCCATACCTGCTGCCTCCCTTTTAAGGTCAATGCAGGATTTTGGCACTCACCAGGGGGGCTCTGCGGGGGCTTCCAGCGTCGTTACCCACACATCATGTGCATCTGTTGTATGCAACCTGCACGGGTTGGGGCATGGGGGGGTGACGGTGGGGGCTGCTGGCTGTCTCATCGTGTCTCATGGTGTCCGTCTGTCTGTCTGTCTCCACAACGTCTTCCTTTCTCTTTCCTCCATGTGTCGCTTTCACCCCAGGAGTTCCCCCTGACTCCGAATGCTTATCACTGTAGTAAGTACGGAGGGGCCGGGCTCCAGCAGCCCGCTCAGCGCCTGCAGCAGGACCTGCCTTGGGTTGCCTTGCTGGTGTTGCCCGCTTTGTTCCATCGCTGAGGCTGGGATGCAGGGTTCTGCCCGACGTTCCATCCCGTGGGGAGGGGAAAGGCTCAGGGAAGCGGTGTGTCGGGTCCTGGCGCGCTGTGCTGCGCTTACAGGGTTGGATCCTGCTCCTGCCCGGGGTGACGTGGGGAGGGCGATGCCGGCTGGCAGCCCCATAGCACTCATCTCTCCCTCTCCCTTTGTCAAGGTGACAAGAAGGTGGAGGATGGCCAAGCTCCGGCCGATTCCTCCGCCGAGAAGGAGCCGCCTGCGGTGGTCAATGGGAAGGATGAGGAGCAGAGCACCGAGGAGAGCAAAGGGGGGGACCAGACAAGCACCCCGGCCAACCCAGAGCAGGATGCCCCCAAGGAGAAGAGCGAGACGGTGACCAGCACCCCCGTCTCCCCCGAAGGCTCACCCTCCAAATCACCCTCCAAGAAGAAGAAGAAATTCCGGACCCCGTCCTTCCTGAAAAAGGGCAAAAAGAAGGAAAAGATCGAATCTTGAGCCTCCCCCCCCGTGGCTTTGGCCGAATGTCTTTCCAGACGGATGTGTCTGCGCCGTGCGTCTGGCCGTGGCGCAGCCAAAAACCCTGGAGGTGAACAATCCGGGAGCCCCCGGCACGAGGCACCAAGTCCCCCCCGTCACCCGCTTTGGAGGTGGCCACTGAGCTTACCGAGAGATTTTGGCCCCTGTCTGCTGCTTGGGGAAATACCCACCGCCACGTCCCCGCTCCCACCAGCACTCCCCCGTCTCTCCCAGGCACCCACGTGGGCTATGAGGTTTGTTTATCCCACCTGCTGCTTGTAGAGCCCTCGTGCAACGCGGGGGCACAGCCTGGATGCGCTTGGTTTTGAGAAAGAAAAGGGTGTGTTGTCGCTGTTTTGGGGTCTTTGAAGAAAACGTTTTGTTTCACTCTCTGCTGGAATGGCGCTGGCTTCGCCCCTGGTGTCTCTTTGCCAGGGTGATGGGATGGAGCCCGACACTGGAGGATTGCTCTCCCCGAAGGAGAGCAACCTGGGACACTTTCCTTCTCGGATTGCAATCTTACCCCAAGGCTGTGAGCCACCTCGGTCCCCTTCTCCTGGTGCCACACACTCCCACGTTTGCTGCCTGGTGAAGAGCAGCAGGAATTTTTGCACCGCACCTGAGAACACAGAAGACAAAGAGCCTCGGGGCAGAGCCATGTAAAACTGAGCAAACTTCACTCACTAAGTGCTACTTTGGGATGAACACACGCTGCCAATTCACTTCAGTAAGAGGCACTGCCCTGCTCCCCCCCCCACACCGTGTTGATGAGTGCCTGCACACGTAAAGAGCACGAGAGCCCCGAGGCCGAACCGCTGCTTAGCCCAGCTCCGGATTCCTGAGCACACACACAGATCCTCCCTGGCCTTCCCCCAGCCTTACCTCCCCATGCCCAGCCATACAACCCAAAGGGAAGAAGAAAAAAGCAGCTCTGAAGCCTGGAAAAGTCTGGTAGCTTTTTTGGGGTGGTTGGTGTCATTTAAGGTAGAATGCAGGGCTGCTGCAGGCAGGAGCTGGAGAGGAGGAAATGCGTAAGCTGGGGTTGGTTTTCTTTATGGGGCTGCAGTTTGGGGTGTGCCGAGCGACTTCTAAAGGGGAAAGTAAAAAAATTGCAAAACCACAACCCCAGCAGGAACGTCCTCCCCCCAACATTGGGGTTTTGCAGCCTGAGAGTCTTTGCTGTGCCCCCTCGTCCTCACTGGCATTCTGCTAGAGGCTGCAGGATGGATTAAGTCGGAGGGGAACCTTACAGACTGCCTGGTTCCATACCCTGCCCTCAGCCCGTCCATCTCCAGGATGGGGCGCTCCCAGCTCGGGGCAGCGTTGCCTCATTGCCCTCTGCCTAAAGAATCTCCTGCTGCCTAAATCTAATTGCAGTCACCCATCTTCTAGCTCGAAGCCGTTCCCCCTGGCCCTGCTGCCATCAGAAAGTCGCTCTTTGTCCTGTTGATGAGCTCCCTTGAAGCACTGCAGAGCCACAGTGAGGTTTCCCTTCGGCTGCCCTCAGGGTTCACCCACAGCTCTCCTCCCGTTTTCCCTCGCTGCTTTTTCTCCTCTCCCGGGCCCCACCGTGGCCCTCAGCACCCCTGAGCCCACCGCCCCACGGTGGGGTTTTTGGCTCCCATTTCCAGGGCTGCATCTGGGATGGAGTCATCCCAGCCAAAGCACCGGGCTGGGAGCGGAAGACGAAGCAAAGAAAAGCTTTGGGGCACCATCACGGCACTGAGGGGTGCCTGAAGGCCCCGTGGCGGCTGGTGGCCGTGGGGTTGGGCTGCAGGTCGGTGCTGGGAGCGCTGCGTGTCGCCTGCCTGTACATAAATAAACCCCGCGTTCGGCCCCAGTGCGCTCAGAGTCCATGGAGGGGTGCGGAGTGGTGGGGTGGGGTTGGAGGTATGGCTCCGTGTGGTGGTGCTGAGGGACCTCAGCCTCGCAGCGGGCCTGGCCCCAAGCTTTTCTCGCTTCTGGAGGCCGAGAGGGGCTGCCCGAGGCGGGGCACAGCGCGGTTCGCCCCTCCCGGAACGTTTTGGTGGAGGAACCAAAGCGCGGCGGCGCTGTTTCCGGACGGAGCGTGGGGAGCACGGAGCAGAACACCGGAAGTGGGGGGCTGCGGGCGGAAGTGGGGCGGAGGGGCGGTGCCATGGGACGCAGCCGGTCCCGCTCGCCGCCGAGGCGCGGTGAGGGAACGGAAGGGGCGCGGAGCGGGTGGGCGGCCGGATCCGGACTTGGGGGCCTGAGGGCGGCCAGGAGCAGGGGGAGCGGGTTCCGGGAGGGCCGCGGGGCAGCGGGGCCCGGGAATGTCTCCAAGGCCTTCCCGGAGGGACGAGGCCATGAGGGGGCAGCGGGGCCCTTCTCTCTCCTTCTCCTTCCCCGCCGCTCACCGCACTCTGCTCCTCTCCCGCCCCGCTTCCCGCAGACCGCCGACGCTCGCGATCTGCTTCGCGGGACCGGGAGAGGAGGCGAAGGGAACGGACGCGGTCCCGGGACAGGGACAGGAGGAGGACCCGCTCCCGCTCCCCGCACCGGCGGCGATCCAGGTGAGGCTCTCGGTGCCGGCAGGACCTCCTGCCGCTCCCCTTAGCGGCCGGCCCGCGGTGCTGCGGTTCCCGCGAGGCTGAACCCTGCCGTCCGCGCCAGGTCTCCCCGGAGGCACCGCTCCAGCTCCTCCTCCCCTCTGCGGCTGAAGGAGAGACGAGATGAGAAGAAGGAGAGCAAAGACACCAAAGGCAAAGAGCGGCAGATCACGGGTGAGGCTCCGCCCCGGCGCTTTTCTCATGTTAATTCCTACTGGAGTTCTTGGTATGACCGGCACAGAGGGCTCCCTGGGACTTATTAAAGTGCTTTTTAAGTGAACGCCGCCGGTTGTGTGAGGTGAACCCTTCTGATTGTTGCCTTTTCAGAGGAAGATTTGCAAGGCAAGACGGAAGAGGAAATCGAGATGATGAAGATGATGGGCTTTGCCTCTTTTGACACAACAAAAGTGAGTGTGCTGGGGTCAAGGCTGACTTTCCATACCCTGCAGGGCTGTGACAGGCAGTGCTCGGGTGTCTCTTTGCTCAAGTAGTACAGCACAGTGTTGGTTATACCCCCAAAACATATTCCCCTGCTTCCTGTGCACCCATTTGGTGTGGGGGTTCTCCTTCACGCAGGGGGTGGTGAGGCACTGGGACAGGTTGCCCGAGGAGGTTGTGGATGCCCCATCCCTGCAGGCATGCAAGGCCAGGCTGGATGTGGCTCTGGGCAGCCTGGGCTGCTGGTTGGTGACCCTGCACACAGCAGGGGGTTGGAACTGGATGAGCACTGTGGGCCTTTGCAACCCAGGCCGTTCTATGATTCATGGCCCAGAGCTGTGGCACTGCTGGATTCTTTGCTCTGTTTGGTGTCTCCATGTATGTGGGCAGCCTCTTGGTGCTGCACACAGCTCTGAACCAATTTTTCTACTCTTTTAGGGCAAGAAAGTGGACGGTGCTGCAAACGCATACGCCATCAATGTGTCCCAGAAGAGGAAATACAGGTTTGTGCTGTGGAGATTGCACAGAACTCACTTGCTTTCCTATGATAAAACAATGCTGTTGGGGATGGAAGGCATTTCAGAGGAAACTGAATGTCCAGGCTGCTGTCTGTGGGCACAGCAAGGCGCTGATCTGTTTCTTTTCCTCTCCCCACAGACAGTACATGAACAGAAAAGGAGGATTCAACAGACCGTTGGATTTCATTGCTTGATGCTACAGACAGTGGAGAGCATCGCTGCCTTCCTCACGTGCTGCTGGCTCAGAGATGGGAGAGAACTCCATCTTTAAAGTGAATTTGGGGTGATTTAGAGCAGATCCGGGTGCACTCGCTCTGCCCTGCACCAAGGGAGGGTGAAGTGAAGCTCATTGATCACCCAGCTCCGTTTGTCCCTTGCCAGGATTTCCTGCTGGTTGTATTTTTTCCTGTTGTGTTGTTGTTTTTTTAATAGCTCAGTGTTGTCTAATTAAAACCTGTATATATTTTTTCCATTTCGTTTCTCCCCCCACCCCCCCTTTGTCTGTGATTACATCACTCAGGAATAAAGTCAGCGAGAAGAGGCTGCTGGAAACCACCCAGCAGCTGTTTCCCCAACTCAGCATTTGGGATTTGAGCCCAACAAGCTCAGTTTGCTTTTTCTTTCTGTGTTCATTGGATCACCTCACGCTTGGGCAGGGATTCCCGCTGCACAGCTCTGCTCTGTGTGCTCCTGGGGTGAGGATTTCACACAGCCCCAGGAGGTGGCAGCACGGTCCTACAGCCAGAAGTGCTTTCATTCCCACCTCTGGAGGCAGATGAACGTTATGCTTTAAGAAGAGGACGTGCATATCCAGCCTGGAGCTGAGGCTTTTGCTATGACAGTTCTGTGGGGTTTTTTTTCTACTTTTTTGAAGGTTTGGCTTGCCAAAACAGCCTCGTCACCAATTAGCCAGCCCTGTGTCTGTGCTGGGTGACAGTGACACACCCTGCTGTCAGTGTGACACTGCCATACCCAGCCTTCTTGCTGCCATGTCATCACTGCGGCACGCCTGGCGCCCCACGATAAGGCCCTGCTGCCAGGCAGGGATTCCCAACCCCCATCACTTTGTTTGCTTTCTCTCCCTTCTAATTAAAACCCTGTTCTGGCTGCAGGTTCAAAAATGAGATGAAACAGCCCCCCCCC